TTAAGTTGGAGAGGAAAAATATAGTGCATTAAGTACATAATCCCGCATGACTTACTAAGGGTACGAATACTGGCTCTCTTGTTGTTGTTGTTGTAGTTGGGTGGTAGTCTTGAGCGAGACTCACCTTGAGACAGTTTGGAGGCGTATGGCTCACTCACTAAGAAGTCAAGCGTGCAACACACACGCACACTCACTATCAATTTTATCACTACAAGCGTGGTATATAAACTTGTAATATCTGAGGGCACCCGTGCACAAGAGTTCGCACCGAGCGTTCGTCCACACTCGCCAAACTCTCAAAATTCGTCAAAATTCCAGCTGAGCAGAGAGAGGTCTGTCCTGGCGGGCATGGGCGCGACTTGGCTGTGTAGGAGCGCCGCCCTTGTACATGCACACCTCTATTTTGGCACGGCGTTGCTAAGTCCGCTTGTCAGGTGGGCCTGTCCGCAGGCGGGGAAGAGCGAGGGCCAGAGTGCAGGTTGTTGCCCCCACACTCATGGCTGATGTGCCACCACTCCTGTTGTCACCTCGGTCTCGCCTAATTCCACGCACTTCACCTGTGACAGGGAGACTACAGGTGATCTGGCCCACTGGCCTATGTATCGACCAGACCGAGGTGAGCAGTGGGATGGAAACTACCTCTTCCAGCGAGACCACGATGTAAACTGAAGCCAACGGGAACACAAGAGCGCGGCTGCCACCTCCACCGCGCCCGTTGCCAGCGACCGCCACCACCACCATCACCACTTCCTGCGTACATACCTTAAACAACTAAAATCCACTATATATCCACTTCTTACTTTGAAATCCGACCAACAGGAGTGTAGCAAATGCAGTAAAATTGAAGTGGAGGGATGACACCCTTCCATTTCTTAGAGGTTTCCAGCTAACAAAGACTGTTGCATCTTGGCGCAGAATCGTGCCAGCTGTCACCATAATCGAGATTAATAAAGCTTAATGTACGTTCCATGTTGATTCCCTGGAACTTCCCGTGTGTGTGTGGACTCTACTACAAATTATACTGCAGATGGTATAAAAATCTTTCAGCAAAGCGAAATTAAGAAATGCAGGTGTTGATGTGGTGGAGGTGTGTTGTTGCAGGGATGCGCCGCAGATCACACACATAGAATATCGGCTCTGCTTGGGAGGCCCACCACTGCGCTTCTCTCTCAGTTTTTCTATTTTCTTTTTATTCATTTATTATTTCTTTCATGTTTTTTTTACGCATATTATAATTATCTTACTCTTTGGAATCGAAACATGTTCTCTCGTTAACCCATGGTAAACGTTTTCACGGTCAAGGTCACCAGGAACCAAAGAACCAGATCGGTAAAAACACAAGATTACGCGACGAATAACACTTTATCAACCCTATTCCCTTCATATATTGACCCACACTCCAGCCATCATCACTAACTGCACTACCAACCACACCGGGCAACCTGCAACAACTACAACTACCGACGGAACAAATACGACGAAATGCCCACCCTCGGCGTAACAATTAAAGAAAAAAAAATATATATATACATATATATATATATATATATATATATATATATATATATATATATATATAAATATATATATATATATATCTATATTCACATATATATATATTCATAATTATCATTATGATAGTAATGATGGTGGTAATCTCACTATTATTACTACTACCACTACTAGAAATCAAATGAATACTGCTGCTAATACTGCTGCTACTATGATAATAATGATGGTGATGATAATGGGAATGATAATAATGATGATAATAATATGATGAAAATGAATAATAATAATAATAATAATAATAATAATAATAATAATAATAATAATAATAATATATATTATATATATATATATTATATATATATATATT